CTAATGGGCTTTGGATCTCCACTCCGCACTCCCCCCTCTACTTCCTGTCTTATTTCTGGTTTACATCACTTAGCATAATGTCTTCAAGGTTTATTCTTGTTGTAGCATGTATCAGAAGTTCATTTCTTTGTTTTGGGTGCATAACATGCCATTGTGTGCATATACCTGCAGGGGTCCTCAAACTTTTTAAACAGGGGGCCAGTTCACTGTCCCTCAGACCCGTTGAACAAATTCCTATGCACACTGCACATAGCTTATTTTGAAGTAAAAAAACAAACGGGGCAGAAACACCCGGCTGGCCGCATGTGGTTTGAGGACCCCTGCCTGAGAGTGTTGATGTGCTCATTTGTTGATTTAGCATTTGGATTGTTGCTACCTTTAAGCTATCTTGAACAACGCTGCAATGACTCTGGAACTGGTCTTTCAGTTCCAGCTTTCAAGTCTGGGGAATTTCTGGGTCACAGTAATTCTGTTTTAATTTTTTGGAGCCACCACCAAGCTGATTTCCACAATGATGATACTTTTCACATTCTCACCAGACCATGTACAAGAATTCCAATTTTGCCACGTCTTCTCTAAGATTTGTTATTTTCTGATTTTGTTTTGTTTTAGTAATAGTTTTGCTAATAGAAGTGTGAAGTGGCTTCTCATTGTTTTGACTTACATTTCTCTAATGGCTAATGCTGTTGGACATCATTTCATGTGCCCTTGACCATTTCTCTCTAGTTTAGGAAATGTCTATTCAAGTCCTTTATGGGTTTTCTAATTGGGATGCTTTTTGTTGTTAATTTGAGTTGTAAGGGTTCTTTATATGTTCTAGATATCTATCCCTTACTAGGTAGAGGATTTGAAAAAAAATTTTTTTTACTTGAAAAATTTTTTAACTGTCTTTATAGTGTTCTTTGATACACAAAGGCTTTTATTTTTGATAAAATTCATTAACTTCTTCTGTTACTGTTTATGCTTTGAGTATCATTATCTGAGACTCAGAAATACATAGTTTTAGACTCTGCTCCATCTGAGTGTTATTTTTTGTGTTTGGATAAAGGAAGAGACCCTCTTTTCCCAACACCCTCTTTGTGTAGAACATGTCTGTCTCCTCCACCCTCTCTTTAGCGATGTCTCTGAGTCCCTGCTTGAGAAGTGCCTCTACACCTGCCGCTCTCCTCACCCAGACATCTTGATACGGACTTCCGGGGAAGTCCGGCTGAGTGACTTCTTGCTCTGGCAGGTAGGTTATCCGTAACTACCACTCTGTCTGGAATAGTCTGAAAACTGCCATTGGGCCCACAGGATGGATTTGAGACCCACCGTGCTGGGACTCGAAAGCTCAAGCATGAGGAAGCGCCAGGCTGTGCCCGGCAAGCTTTGCTGTCCCTTCTTCTGTGTGTAGCGTGGTTCTTCCTGTCCAGAGTGCAGGGCATTCCCCTTAGAGGAGCAGTCAGACTCCCCACCTGCAGTGGGAATTTGTGTGCTCCTCTTCATGGAACTGGAGTTCTGCCTTGCTCATCCGCCAGGTTCCCCAGCACCTCCGGGCAGAAACCGAGCCTTGTGGTTACCTGTCTCTCCCCTTTAGAGTAACGAGCTATGTCGGTGACAGCACTTTGACCCTGAGGAATATAAACAGTATGCACGCCCATTCTTGGAGGCTTGCCTGGCCTCACAAGTCAGTTACTCTTCAAAAAGTTCCTATCCACATCTAGAGTTTCAAATCTCCAGCCGAGCTAGCCTGGTCGCTGGGTAGAACATGAATGGGGAAAGCCTGGTTCACAAGGAGTATTTATGACACAAAACCGAAGGGGATTGGAGAGATCCAGTTTAGAAGCAGCTCATGATGTGAAACTCCAGGAATTTTAATGGACCACAGCCTCAAAAGTTAATTACCGTAACAAGATTTAATTCCTGAAGATACTTCAATCTTTGGCTAAACCGGGGGGTGGGGGGGAAGTATGATGTTTAGCAAGTGGTTCTGTGGCCCACCCTACTTCTCAGATCACATCTGAAAAGTTTACTTCTGGGCACTGAGTCTGAAGAAACTACATCGGGGAAATAGAGGATTTAGGGAAGCACCCTAAGACACGGGTAGCAGGGAATCTGGAACTCGTGTCCTACAAGGAATGTGTGAAGAACAGTGGCTTTGAAAAGGGAAGCATGCCGATATGCTGGGACTGACCCAGTCAGAAATGATTCCTGTGACTTAGTTTGGTGGCAAGAGAGACTCTGGGCAATTGGTTACAATCTTGAGAACAGATAACAGGCATCTCTAGCCTTCAAATATTTGAAAGAATGTCACGCTGAAGAAGATACAAACTTGTTCCAGAGGAGAGGCCTGGAGCCAGAAGTCGCAGGAAGGCAGCGCTGGCCAAGTAGAAGCAGCACTCCATGCCAGTCTCCCCTCCTATGAGGCAGGACACCCTCCAGTCCTGACAGTCAAGAATGCTCCAAAAGGGATTCTCAACTCATGCCTGTTGTTATTGAAGGTCACCTGGCTCTCTGTGCTCACCTCGAGTTGTGCTTATTACCTCATTCAGTCTTCTTACTAGCCTAAAAGCTAGGTTTTCTTTTTACTCCATCTCACAATTGAGGAAACGGAGTCCCGGAGAAGTTCAATAACTTGCCTGTGGTCACCTAGCTAGAAAATGGTGGAACAGAATCCAAGGCCAGGCATTTTGGCTCTAATGCCCATCCTCTTTAACCACTGTGCTGTAGCACTGCTACTTAAAATAACAATGGCAGCTATCATTGGTTCATCGCTGGCTTTTATCGGTGTGTCTTCTAGATGACCTTTCAGGGACAGGAGCCAAACAACATAATCCAGATGTTATTTCATGGTCCTAAAATTGGCTCTTAGAAAAGTCCTGGTGGAGAGGTTGATCGAGTCTCCTTTAATTTCTGCTTTACTGGAGGCAGCTGGTCTAGGTGCCTCAGATGGCCCTTCCCCTTATTCGTGAATAAATCAGGGCTAGTGGCAGCAGCTCTGGATGCCTGTGCCCTTTTGTCTCTGAGCTTCTGGGTCCTGCTCAGCCTGTTCCTTTGGAGGCCTGGGCAGGAGTGTGTGTCCCAGGGACATAAAACTAAGCTGTACTCTCTCCTTCCCCACCTCTCGCAGACCTCACACTCCTGTCTGGTATTCCAGCCAATTTTATGGCCAGAATATACATTTTGGAACTTCTGTGAAGCCATCCTACAGTTCCAGATGAACCACAGTGTGCTTCAGGTAAGAGTTCAGGCTTGATTGGGCAGGGATGGGAGTGAAGCTTAGCATTGACCACCTGCCATACACCAACCACGTGGTAAACATGCTCATGATGTTGTTAGTGATGAGAGTTATCTAGCACTTCGTATTTACTTTTGTCACACACTTAACATTTTATCTGCATTGATTCATTTAATGTGCAGCATTGACTCATTTAATCTTTGAATAACCCAAGCAGGGAGTTATTATAGCTCCTCCCCACCTTTGCAAATGAGTACATAGAGAGAAATTATTTTTCAACTAGTAAGAGTGAGAATGGAGTTCAGGTTACAAGTCCTTAATGCCCTCACTACAGACTCAGGAAAGACTTCCCAGAGGAATTTGGCCATAAGGAATTCGGCCCGAAGGTGTTGGCCTAATAAATGAGTATAGTAGTGGAAGTATATGAAAAGCAGGCTTGGTGGAGGGATTAGGAACTAAACCTTGAAGTTTAGCTTTCAGTTTTCATCACCACATCTTAGGTTCCAGTAGGAGGCAGAATCCCCTGTCTCAGTAGCTCTCTGAATCATAATGGTGATATAGGGGTGGCAGACACATCGCAGGTCAACTAAGGCACTTAAGAGCTTTCGTGAAGTCTTGGTTGAAGCAGCATTCATTATGAGTGAGGACAGAGACGCCTAAAGTCACAGACCTGGGAACCTGGATTTTAAATCCAAAGCTTGTACTCCTAACTCACGGACTGTTTCCAGGGGCTTCTTAGGACCCCTGAGTGAGATCTGTCTGTGAACCCCATGTTTGGAGCTCCTGCTATAAGTGACCAAGTCATGAAGGATCGATCGCTGCTTGATCATTTGGCCTCACGGAGAAGTGAGTTTAGAACACATGAATGAAAGAGTCGGCAGCAAAGCCTCAGCCGTTTATGTCAGTAAGGAATAATGTCATTCTTTTCTCCACATGACCAAAACATCAAGAACCCACCTTTAAAAAGGTTTAATCCTTTGTTGGTAAGGAACTCTGAAGCATGCCTTGTGCATAATTCTTGGGCACCTTAAGTTCTTCACTATATAGGGAAGCCCTTAAGAGTGAGGCTAATGGCTGTAAGGCAGATGATCCCCAAATATTTGGCGTGGGGGTTTCTGGTATATTTCACCCAGCCATATCCTACTTCAGTCAATGGCTCATTTTCCTACTCCAGTTTACTACTGTAGATCAGCTAGAGGCCAAGAGACCACAAGTCATCAAGCTGGTCAGGACTAACTTTGCAAAATACAAGTAAATGGGCTCTACACAAAGCTGATGGGAAGACAGCCCACGAGCCTTTGAGCATAGCTCCTCTCTTGAGCTGGGCTGCTCAGCAACCATTACCGTAATTTCCAGACGGCAGATGGAGGACGTGGCGTGAGTCACACATTGGAGTAGGCACCGGCAATTCAGCACTTAGCCAGCCAGCCAGGATTTCTATCTTCATGGAGCTTGTATTCTTAGTTGGGGAGACATACAAAACAAATACATTAGCTCCCTGGTGGTAATAGAGTAATGAAGACAGTACAGAGGGTGGTGTGCTGGAAAGTAGTGCAGAGGGTGGGGGTACTAAACAAAGCAGTCAAGACAAGCTGTAAGGGAATGAAAGATGAGCAATAGCCAGACCTGCTACATGCCGAGAGAAAAAAATTTTTCTGTAAAGGCAGTGGCAATTGCAAGGGTATGAGGTTGTAAAGTGTCCTGGAAGAACAAAATGGAGCCAGTGTCTCAGAAAGGGAAAGGTGGCCCAAATGTTTTCCACTGGATTAATAAAAGGTAGGCAGTTCAAATCCACCCAGCAGCACTGCAGAAAAAAGATCTGGCCATCTGCTTCTGTAAAGATTACAATCAAGACCGTCCTGTCAGGCAGTTCCCCTCTCTCTGGGTGGCCATGAATTGGAATTGCCTTGGCAGCAGCACTTTTGTGATGGGAGGGAGGTGTGCCTAAAGGAGCCTGATGATGTAGTGTGTTCTGCTAACCACAAGATCAGCAGTTCGAAACTACCAACTGTTCCGAGGAAGAAGGATGAGACTTTCTGCTCCCATAAAGATTTTCAGTCTCTGAAACCCATGGTGACAGTTCTACCCTTTATCCGGTCGCTATGAGTCAGAATTGACATAGGCCTTGAGACGGGGTGGTGGCAGTCAGAAGGGGTAGGATTGAGTTGATTGAAGACTTGGGAAGTTGCAGTAGGTGGCACACATCAAATAAACAAATGCAATTAGCTATACGAGTATGATATTGATAGTTATACTTCCCGAGAAAGGAATTTACTCAAGTAACTCAGTTATCTGACTATGCATCTTTAGTGGTATATATTCTAAAGATAATTCAGACTGCAAAGCAAACTTAAGACATTTTTTTAAAGAGGTTAATTGTTAATGATAGGGCTGGTGGTGCCATTCTGAAACTCTTATGTGTGTTGTAGGAACAAAGCTAATAAGTCCAAATAATATTAAGAACCAAGACATCTCAGTTTTTCCCTGGCCAATTCAATGGATGGTTGTATTATTTGCTGGGACAGGATGGGACATGTTTGAGGACGATTATTAAGCAGACATTTTGTACTTAGTAATCAGATTTACAAATATTTATTAGGCTCTTACTATAATCAAGGACCCTTACTTTGGCTCTCTGTAGTGCTATACGGTAGATATTATCATCACAGCCTTCATTGTTAGAGTAAACCGAGACTATAAGAGATGCTGACTGACCTAAACCTTTGTCCAGCAGGGAGTCCTCAAAGCTGTTTCTAGAAATCTTAGCACCTTGGCAGAACACTAAAGAAAGAATCCAGACTAATAGCATCCCCTGAAACGAGAGTTAGTCTTTCCGATCTTTTCTCGCAGTCTCCTATATCATTTTCAACTGCACGCTTCGTAGCTTCTAGTTCTTATATCCTTCACTGTGCTCTTGCCCCTCTCCCAAATTCTCCCTCTTACAATCTTACCTGTTTGGTCTCCAACAGGCCCAGCCCAGTGTATTCGTAGGGAGTCAGGGTGGAGGAGAGGAAATGGCTCTGGACCGAGTGTAGTTTACTGGGGCGAGAGCTGCTGATAGCACTTAGAGAAGCTGAGATGTAAGTTGTCAGGGACCAGACCTCATCTGAAGGGACTGTGGCAGGTTCCAGATGGTCACTCTTTCAGTCTTGTGGTTAGAGTTGAACAAGGAATGAGGCTGGCAAAGGGAGAAGGTGACTGTGATGCAGTAGGACTTGCCAGCAGGGAAGCAAAGGGCAGATGAGAAGGGTGAGGTGAGTGACCTTACAGCACACTGATCTTCAGTTACATGCTGCATCGATGGTAGAGGGTAGATGAGTAAGAAGAATGTGGTTCACCTAGCAATCTAAGTACGAGATTACAGAGGGAAAAACACATGATCCCACAAGACTTCCTTTGGTGCACTTTAAGAGATGAAATGCAGGCTGGAGTGCCTTTTATTTCTGGTGGTCTTCAGGTAGTCATTGTCTTCTCGGGAGAAATTAAAAACAAGCACCTAGCTGTGTGACTGTGAGTTACTTCATGAGTAAATGAGGAGGACTACCCACCTCCAGTAAGCAGCTACACGGAGAGTACTGCATATAGTTGTCTAGCACAAGTCCACCTTTGGAGAGTGCTGACCAATGTTGACATGCATCTCCAGGCCCTTCACCAGAAAAGTCACATACATGCAGCACCCTGCTCATCTCATCTCCAGTAGGGTGCCCCAGCAGGGAGACTCGGGAGAGGCACTGTCTCTCCAGGCAGCCCTCAGAAATACAGTCCCCATGGTATTCACCTTGCTATGGGAAATGGGGACTTCGGGAGGACTTCTTATTGGCTCCTGAATATTTAGAAGCGGAGGACCTGGAGAGAAGTACAGTGTAGAGGACTGGAGAATGTAAGTACTAGAGGGCTTATGCAATGGTGTTCCCCGCTTCTGCAGAGTGGCTTGGTGCGGAGGAGGGATTGAGATTAATTAGGTTAGAGCCATATTGCCCAAATCCAGCACTGTGGAGTCTTTACAGCAAGACTGTATAAGGTCTGTGTAGGAGGAAATGGCTCCCTCACTCACCTGTCTGGTCACTACTGATTGTCTGGCAGCCTTATCAGGGAGAGGGAAAGGGTCCATTAGGGCCTCTGTTACCCAGCCTTTTCTACGGGTGACTACCTAAGAATCACTTAGAAAGCCCTGAGATTGGGAGGGCACCCCCAGACTACCCCCTGAAAGCATAGTGCCTGTGATTTATCCAGAGATAAAACATAACGTTTCCTGAAGTCCTCTCAAGCCACCTGACTGGAAAAAACAAGGAACTTCAACTAATTGTGTGACATAGGCCAACTCCCTACCTGTCTCAGCCCCAATAACCTAGTCTATAAAATGGGAAAACTGGGGTAGGTGGTCTTCAGGAGCACTCCCCCCTCTGCCATTCTCACATTGAACTGCTGAAGTGCTCTTACAGAGTAACATACTCCTGAAACGAACAAGACAGAGGTATAGGAAGCAAGACCTATTCTCCCCCCTGGGCTAGGTGTGGCAGGAGCAGCTCTAGCAGAGAGCTCTGGGACCAATTAGGCTAGCAGGAGCAGAGCACATCGATGAGGCAGGGCATGGCCTTGGTTCTGTTCCCAGGGATTTTCCCCTTCTATGCCATGGACATCCTCCCTGCCCTCTTGGGATCACATAGCCAGTCAACTGAATATTTCACACATAAAGAGTGTCCCAAGTGCCAGAGAGAGGTACTGCCTCTTTCCTCAAGGAATTTCTGACTTCCCTAGACACACACACGCACAGTGTGAGAGGTGTGTCTGGAATATGATCACATACCTGGTGTCAGAACTGAGTTCAGGAGCCTTGGAGCTCTCTCAAGCCCACTTGGGCTTCTTTCCTAATAGAAGAAGTAGCCTGTGGACACTAACACCTGGTCTAGGCAGAATGCGATAAGTAGCTTAAGGGATGTGACCCTGCATCTGCGGCTGCTTATAGGAGGGTTACTGCTGGCCGAGTCCAGTGGATCTCGATAAAGGAGGGAAGTCAGAGCCAAAATGGAAGAATGGCATACGGGGTAAGAGGATGGCACCCTGAGAGCGACCTCGGAGACCACGGGAAGTGCCCAGACAGGATAGGACCTTCCTGCAGCAGAGAATAGCCAGTAATAACTCGTAAAATTGCTCTATTTGTTTGAGAGCTGTTAATATACCAGAGAGGATTTTGCATATATTACCTCTAATCCCTAACTTCTAGGCAGGTGCACCCCCCACTTTACACATGCAGAAATGAGGTTAGGAAAGGATTTACCCAAAGCCAGGGTGCTCCTGGTAGGGGGATCCAGAAGTCAAGGCTGTGTGTATCAGATTCCCTTCTGTTTGAAAGCCTGAGCTGAATTTCAAGACATACAGATGCTCCCCACCGACAACAAACCAAGAGGACCCAGAACCGCCACTGCCCCGCCTGTGCAGCATGGGCACCACACCCTTACTCCTGAGCCTTTCCAATCGGGGACAGATGCGCCACTGTTCCACTGCGCTTAGTGTACCCAATTCCACTGACACCGAAAAATAACCTCCCCACCCCGATCCCCACTTGTCTCTAACAGAAGGCCCGAGACATGTATGCAGAGGAGCGGCAGAGGCAACAACTGGAGAGGGACCAGGCTGCAGTGACCCAGCAGCTGCTGCGAGAGGGGATCCTGGCCAGTGCGGACGCCCAGCTCCGACGGACATGCTTGCACAAACTCTCAGCCAGACGGGAAGAGCGGCTCCAAGGTTTCCTGCAGGCCTTGGAACTCAAGCGGGCGGACTGGCTGGCACGTCTGGGCACCGCATCAGCCTGAGTGGGGCTGGCCACCTGCCACTTTGCCCTGCCCTTGGCCTCCAGGCCCCGCTCCCTTTCTCTCTTTGGTGAAGGCACTACCCTCCTGAGGATGAACTGTCCCCCTTTGCGTGGCAGAGGCAGCCCTGAGGCCAGGCGTGCAGGCCACGGGCACCTTTGGGCTGTCCAAGACAGTGACCCCAGAGAGGGTTGAGAGTGAGAGAGACCCCTGCACACACACAAGTCCACTAAACCCAGCTCTGGTCACCAGTAGGGCTTGCCAGCAGGCCTTCAGCTACTCAGCTGCGCTTCTGCCTCTGCTGCCACCAGTTTATGCTTCTAGAAACACTTTCTTTTTTACACCAGCCCATCCGACAGCACCGAATTGGTGGGGGGAAGGGCTCCCCACACTGTAGCCCTTTGCCTATCCGTCTTCGCTTTCCACCCGACTCACAAAAGCGTTGGCTCCCCACCTTGGATCTGTTGGTAAATGGCTAGTAGGCAACAGTGTTATTTGGGTGAGGAAGAAAGGGGCGGGAGAGACAGAAAATCTGTTCCTCTCCCTGGGCTCTCCACCTGGGATTCGCTATTGAATCCCTCCCCTCCCACCACCCAGCACTGATTGCTTACTGAAAGGCTCAGCGCCCCCAATGGCGTGGAAGCCAGGCGGGTGATTACAATCCAATTACCTATTGTCGACTCAGCCCACACAAGCTTTTCTTCTCCGAGGGCATGGGGCCAGGCTCACTCCCCACTGGCTGGCCCCCGCCTTAGCTGCAGGATGTGGGCCTTGGTGAGTCTGCACTAGCCCCCAGCTTCCCACCCAGTAACACATCAGGATCTGGGGCTGCTCCCACTCAGGCTCTCAAACTCTGGCTCCCACTTCCTCGCTCTCTCACCTCAAGGCTCCCTTGATTTGACTTTTCCACCTGGCCACTTCAGCAGGCCCTGGATGACTTGCTCTCAGCAGCTTATTCCAGGCCCTCCTGTGCTTGTGAGGACCAACGCTGCCCAGCAGGAAGGAGAAGGCATAGTGTGCTCCATCCTTTCTTGTACCTCTCTTTGCCAGGCCTTGTTGCAGAGTGCTGAGAGGATTAGTGCCTTTGAAAAGCTGTCTTTCTAAGCAACAGGCCCCAGCCAGTAATCCCAGTGTAGTGCGATTCCATTTAGACTTACCATTCTACGTTATACAAGCTGTTTCCCCAGCACCTCCCTCTAGGGTACAAGGCCTTGCAAGCAATGTTAAGGGCATACTCTTCTGACCTCTAACCTGGCTGTACTTCAGCCCCTCGTTTTTCTGTGCCTAGAGACCTGGCATAAGAAGTCCTTTGGCCATCATCTCTCTTCTCAGAATCAAGCATCAATGCCAGGCGTGACAATTGAGAAGCCAATCAATGCACCCCTTGGCAAGCGTCCTCCCCCCTGCCCACCCGACGACCCTCCCTACCCCCTTACACCTGGCACTCCCACTACCAATTCCTGGCATGAGGTTCCCGGAGAGCAGGTGCTGTACATTTTCTAGTTTTACAATGGGGCTGTTGACAGCCTTAATTAGGGAGGCATGAATTATGCTGCTATATAATGTGGAGCCCTACAATTAAGGCGGGAATGAGGGGCTGGAGGCAGCAAACGGAATCTGCCCGGCAAGCCTGCTGTTGAGTCCTGTCTCCTTTCTGTCCCTGGCTTTCCCTGATGGGTACACCAGGATGATTAATAGAGCTGGTATCTCTCTCTGGTCTCAAGTCCCAAATTCTGGGAAAGGTGCACAGGGTGGGGAAGGGAGGAGCTGTCCTTCCCAGGAGTATGTGCTGAGAAATACTTGATTCAAACTCAACCAATGTGATTTGTTCAGACCAGCTTCAACCCATGTCTCAAGAAACCAGGTGGGATCTATTTAAACACCCTCCCACCTGAGTCAAGCCCCTGTTTTCGAGTATCATGTCCCTGGGTTCTCCCAGGACTTGAGAATTTCGGGGTTTTTCCCCCCATAGCTGTAAAAGTTGTTGGCAATGCAATGGAAGAAAATCTTATTTTACCACCGCAATTGTCTCCAGTAGTACCTTTAGCAAAGCTGTAAGAACCCTGGTTTTGGACTTTTTGCAACACCTGCTTCTTAAATGTTTAAATGCTTCGAATCCCTGGGGCGCTTACCCCCCACCCTCCCATTTCCCTGCTCGAAGTCAGCTTGATAGTGTGGAAGGAGAGGTTTCGCCAGCTGCTTTTGCGTCGTCCTGGCTTGGTGACCACATCAAGTGCTAGCAGCTGGGTGGATGCCTCAGAAGCGGGTGGAGCCTAGGACGAGGGAAAGGCGGGTAGGCCGCTCTCGCATCATTCTGTGATGGGTTCCTGAGGTCCGGGCATACAGAGACCCAAAGATGCCACCCAATAGACATTGGGGGACTAGGGTGCTGAAAGAACAGCTCCTACCTGCCCCATTGCACCTTTGCTTGTAGTCTCCCCTCGGGGACCACCCTACCCCTAACCTGGGGCACACGGCCCTCCAGGTGTGTGCCCGGAAAGGCGTCCTCCGAGTGGTAGCTCGGAGATGCACCTCCGGCTGCGCGGGGCCGGCTTCCCTGCTCGTTCGCTGCCGCGGCAGCCCTGGCCCTGGGAGCGCGAGCCGCGCGCTGCCTTGCGCCTCCAGGGGAGCCGGGCGGGCGGCCAGGCCTCGCTACCCTCTCCTGGGGCCCCAGCGGGCGCGGAGGAGCGGCCAGAGGCGTCTGGGGTGTTGCATGGCTTGGGGAAGTGGGTTGCATAAGGTGGAAGGAACTTGGTAGTTGGCGAGCCC